GGCTCTGACGGAGGGGTAAAATTTAAAGACATGGTGTTGTTTTTTTTTTGTTTTTTTTTTTATTTGGAATGTTCACCCATGATTACAGAGTTGATGTGTGTGTTCACCCTTCCTGCTTGCATTTGTCTGTCTTGTGTTGTGTGACCCTTTCTACTCTCAACCCAGTGCTACAAAGGGAAGATGAAGCAGGGAGCTTGAAGCAGTGAAAGTGGCATATTATCTCTTTGGTTTGTTGGACACCAGCCAAGCTCATCTTTTCTGGGACTCCTTCCCATAATTTTTCCATGGTGAAAATGGTGGTTTAGCTCATGTCTATCTTAGCTATAGACAAGCTGGCATGGTACAACTAAGCGCAGATGAAACCAAGAACATACTTTCTCTTCCTTGGTCTTCAGTTCACAGTTTACCCATTGAAGTCAGTTAAACCACACTTTTTCACTTCCTCCCTTTTCTACATAGGGGTCTAGTGTTAAGCAGAACAGCCGAAGTGTCAAGCCTACAGTTCAACTGAAATAGTATTGTATCTTCTCTGGGGAGAGACGGTTTATCTCAAAGAACACTGACCTGCCACTGATCCTCAAACCCTGTTCTGATGGTATAATTTTCCTATCTTGTTCAGAGCAGGTGGCTGAAAGTTGGTTACAGTTACACTCCAAGCTCTAGTGACAACTCTAATGGTCCATGAAGGTAGATCAGAGACATATGCTGACTAGAAGGTAAGATGACTGTGATCAAAGATCTCCTTCCTATATTTATACTTAACTAGTCTAGTAAATGGCACAATACTGATCCCCTGGTGTCCCTGATGATCTAAGGCAGCCTATTGCTGTGTGACAGCAGTTTACTCCTTGTCTTGAGTGTAGGGTCAAGCTGCTGCCAGTCTGGTGGTGACTGGAATGTGGATGCCTGGCTAGTTCCTAAGGCCTCTAAATATATCATGTCACTTCACAAACATTATCAAAATGCCTTCAACTGGTACACATTTCTCCGAACGTGCCCTCCCCACTCTGGCTTTGAAACGGTGACTACTGTGGAAGCTCAAAAAACCACTGCTGTTCCCTTGGCTCATCTGGTTTAATTAAACTGATTCACTTTTAATTAGTAAACATTACTGTAAAGCACTTGACTTTGCAGCAAAGCAAGGCATTACACCAAGGTAATTAAGTTGTTTAAAGGGCTAGGAATTTTGACTGCTAGAGCTCTCTCATGACTTCAGAAGAAGAAATAAAAAGCAATGGAAGGAAACAGCTGGGTGGGCTTTATAGACTCCTCTCCTGGTTGCCTTTGCATCTATGTTGCTGCTTCACTATAACCCCTAATTGCACCCTTGCTACGATAATGCATCAGAGAAGGCAGCACAAAAAATCCTTTCCTCTGAATAGGACTGACTATGTTATTACCTCTGTGACATCATTTTTGTTGAGATTTCTTAAGCTGGCTAGAGCAGCATCCAGTGCAGGGAGGGCTTCAGCAAGGTCCTTCTGGGCATCATCTGCAATAGCTTGGGCTGTCTCGGCTTTCACTTTGGCTTTCATCTCCTCAGCCTGCACAGCATTGCGAGTCTCTTCAGCCACAGCTGTGTCTACCTGCAGCACCAGAAACAAACTCAGAATAAATTTTTTCAAAGATCTGATCCAAAGTACCAGTTTGGGTTGGCTTGGAGACTTGTCTGGATGATGCTGAAACCATGACCCAGCATTTCCCATCAGAAAGTCTGTCTCACTGAGGCTGTATTAAATCTGCATAGCATATCAAAGATTCTGTCCTATTGCCATCACTGTAGACTTGCACTGGAATTGGGCTGTTAAGAATCTCTCCCCAAAAACAGTACACCACTAGCAGTACAGATTATGCAGCATTAATTTATTTCACTGATCTGTCAAGGGATGAGCCAAAGTAGCAAACTAAGGAGCAAACTATGATAAATACTCAAACTGCAGTATTTGAGTGCAGTACAGTGAGTGAATAAGTATGTCTTAGAATGCTCATAAACAGAACCGAATAACAAACTTTTTTAACAGTCATCTTGCTGACTATACCTATGCTCCACGACAACTTCAGATTTGCACTGTCTGAGGGGAAAATCTAACGAAGACAGGGCTTTTCTTACAAGTAGATTAATTCACCTCCAGAAAGGAAGAAGTGTGCAAAAAATAAAAGGACTGTGCATTTCTTCTCAACTGTCTCAGACTCACAGTAACTCTCCAGCAGTGCGCAGATTCTGGCAGCTTTTTACAAGCAGTCATCAAGTTTTGCACTCTTACCTAGCATACCTTCTAGGTTTAGTCATCTTACAATAGGCAAAATGGGTAACAGCCACTTGAGAAGCACTGCCTCTCCATGCTTTCTTAAGGAAAAATGGAGTTACAGAGAGCTTAGAGCATTGGTTCTGGGACTCCAGCAGAGGGCAATGCTGAATTTCAATCATTTTAATTGTAAGAGGCCTGGCTCACCATAGCCTTGGTGACACATTGTGAAGGTAGTAATATTTTATATGCTCCATACACATCAGTTGAGGATGCACTAAGACTTAGAATGTAAGAATGATCAGGTATTCCCAGAGATGTATTCTTTTTTTATTCACATGTATAATAATCAAGCCCAGCTCTGTCTTGAGCATCCCACCCCAGTTTCACCCTGTGATGGAAGGGGAGGAAGGATCCATTTTAAAAATGTTAAAAACACCCAACTAATTATTCCCATGTCCCCCACTGTCCCATTTTGGGGGGGAAAGTTGCATCTTTAGATAAATATCCTGTACCTTTATTTGCTCCATAGTTGCCAGCGTTTCTCTGGCTGCTTCTGCCAGGAGGGGCCGTGCTGATTCCAGTTCTTCCTGCATCTTTGCTACATCTTCTGCTGTACTTAGTAGCTAGAAGAAATAAAAGAAATCCAGTTCCTCAGGTAACCTGGTCAATGAGCTCCAGCTATAAGACACCACACCATTTAGAAAGGAAAGGTGAAGATATGGCCTGCCTGGTGTCTGACAATGTAAGTACTTGCTTGGGAATAGTCTTTTCCATGAACAGTCTTCTCTAAAAAAGAGATTTCACTGGATTTGAAGAATGTGTCACATTTTCAAGAAAAGGTGCCCAGTTTTCCCCACGCAACATGCACGGGCTTGCTGCATGCAGTGAGCAATTCTGTTGTGCTTCTACAAGCATAAACACTAACAGCTCTTTGAACAGTGGGGCAAAATGGCTATGAAGCCGCAGTGATAAATTTAAACTGTGTCTGGGGATTAGTCTAAGCCTAAATGCTGGTCCTATATTCAAATCTGGAGGGCAACTCTATTACAGTGAAAGCCCCACATCTATTTGATGACTGTGGAAAGCTTATGTATGCAAGTACAGACTTGTTGGGAAGGAGGGGGATACAGAAGATTCAGAACCAAGTCTAACATGAACATACACAATAGTGCACAGTATAGGACATCCTAGATGGGTCACTGACAGCAAGGATTAAAACTAGGTCCTACAGATCTAAAAGCAGGAACTGTTCTCACTTGAGCTAAAGAATTAGTGTCATGGCTATAACAGACTCCAATCTTATAGGGGTATAATTGCAGAGCTGTTTGCAGTAAAGCATGTCTCACTTACAAGAAATGGATATCCACAGCTCTCCCAATTTAGAGGAACCAACCTTGTCCAGGCCACTCTTCATCCTGTTCTTGGCTGTTTTCAGCTCTTGTTTCTTCTTCCCAATCAGGAATGTAAAAATGCTAAGGAGCTCCAGGTAGCTCTTGGGAGTGACATAATTGTGTCTGGCCAATTCTGCCAGGTACTCTTTGCACTTCAGTGCCACACTCTGGTGGATTTCTACACACATCTGAATCTACACAAATCACAGAAAGACAACAAATGCAATAGGCATTTTCTGTGCAGGGTACAGGCACCAGGCAGAAGTTGGAGTGAGTGGCAAAAGACATGGAGGAGAACAAATGTACAACTGCAGCCAAACATTTCCCTCACATACAGCTAAAACTGTATGAGAGAGTAAGATGGAGTAACCTCATCTGAAGGTCAAAATGGCAGAGAAGGAGATTGGATAATCATCTCCAAAGCGTACCAAAGGTAGTTCCTGGCTTGAATAATGCCATCCTTAAACATTTCTCCATTACAAGCTAAATAGGGATAGCACTTACCATTCCATCTATAACTTCAGAGGTAGCTTCAATATCCGGCATTTCTTGTAAGAAGGAGGATGCAACGCATCGCAGGGCTTCTGCGGGCCATTCATTAAACCAGTCAATTGTACAGCAGTTCACTAGAGAGGGGAACTGTCTCAGACGGGCACGGAATATCTCTCCAATGGGACTAGGTAGGAAGGAGTGGGGTGGATGACAAGGGAAGAAAATAAATAATGCAGGTCAGGACAGGCTGCCAAGACTGATGTGAAACACTGCACACGTACAAAATAAGAGAAAGGTGTTTTATTGCAGGTTAAAAAGCAAGAGGAGAGAGAGATGTTCTTTAGCTCTCCAAGAAAAAGGTCATTATTGATTGCCTTGGAAGTGATGGCTGTAGTAAGTATATGCCTCACTAGAAGGATTTATGGAATGTATTCTGGGAATCCTCCTTTGACCAGCAAAGAGTAAAGAACTGTATTGGCATGCCCAGGCTATATGAACATAACTAAGAGCAACTGATTGCAGAGACTA